TTTCGTTAGTTTTCGTTAACGATAATAACCTTGGCAATAGCTGTCAGGGAGTCATCGTTTCAAACACCGTCCATGTTTTAAATGAGCTTCCAAATAGTTTCTCTTTGACGCAGCCCGTCATCTCCCCTGTTTCTCCCTCCAGGATAAGAGTCTGTATCACCCCGTCAGCAACAGCTGTATCGACACCAGCCCGAACGAGCGGCGCGTCTTCATGAACACGTGTGACCCGTCCTCGCCCACTCAGCAGTGGCTGTTTGAGAAAACCAACGCCACCGTGCTGGAACACTTCAATCAGGGCACCAAGTGAAGTCCTGCAGCATCCACGAGGAAGGACTCGCGCAGAAGTGGAGCTGCTGCTGCTGCTATTGCGAACTGGGGTACTTCCCATTTGCCTCGCAATGAGGTGACAGCTGTTTCTCTTTGGGGTGCTGGGAGTGAGGCAGGACGGGACGCGGAGGGGGTTAGTTAAACGCATTAGTGTGAGGGAAGATTGGGTTTGAGTTTGATTGATGGGATTTGTGTAAAAGTTACTCTGTGAGAGATGGGTGTGTTCTGTCGGGGCGCTGCTGTGGCAGTAGGTCTGTTTCACTTCCTGATTTTTATTAATTTTTGTTATCATCTGCCATCTCTTTATTTCTTTTGCCCGTTTCAAATCTCCCTCTCTTCCCCTGCACTGTTTCCTCTCTGGGGGTTTGTCCATCCTCTCTTTCTGCCCATCTACCTTTTATCCTCCAATCTCTCCTCCCTCGTTTCTCTCCCGGTCTGCCACTGCCTGCATGTCCGTCTCTATCTGCCTGCATGACTGCACCTTTGCCCACCTTTTTCATCCTCCCTCTCAAATATCCTTATGTCTCTCCAGCTCTGACAACCTCCCTGGGGGTAGATGAAGGGGGGGAGGGGCTCTTGCTGAGCCAAAGTCGTACTGACACCTGGGTGAAGCCAGGCAGAACCACTCTGAAAATCACCTGGTGAATTGATTCTCCTTTACAACCTTCTGTTCCCTCCCTCATCCTTCCCCTCATGTGTGTAACTCCTGGTCTGCGGGCAGAGCTGCGTTGAATGTAGTGGGTGAAAGTTGACAAAGACGGTCCAAGGAGATAAGACCTTTTGCACGTGCCTCACTTATTTGTTCCGTATTCTCTGCTTTCCTGTCTGTATTTATTGATTAGTCCTTCGCAGATTCGTCACTGTGCCACGTTCTTCTTATATTCCTCAGAGGCGAGCGCTATCCAACGCCAGGGTATGTGCAGGCCGACTCCTGCTGGGTAATGGTGCAGTCAGACTAGATTTTGCTTTCTTCATAGAGGTCCTGCATCTCTTAAAGTAGACAATAAGAATGCAGGCTGTCTGTGAGGCCTACGCAGATAAAAGCGACAATGGCAAACAGAAGATCCAAGGTAAGGTCATTGCACTGCAACAACGCTCCAACAAGTGCTTCTTTTGAGATCTCACCCTGGAGTGGGTCCCTTTATTTGAGAAAAGCTCCTCAAAGCAGTGACCACTAAAACAGGAGGTATTTGTTCAGAATTTAGCTTTAAGGTTGCCTGGTTACTGCGGTTTATTAGCTAAATAGCCGTGCTACTTCGGATCACCCATACTACGACTCCTCCTCATTATTCAAACTACATCTCATAGGATTTGCAGTATACAAGCAAGTGTGCTTTTTGGCACTACGCACACAGTAAGATGTTTAAAGTTTGGGGCTCATTTGCCTGCTACATTCAACAGTGTGTACTTTGTTGGGGCTATACCAAAAGCAAATGGAGAAAACAATATGCAATTATTATATTAATAATTATAATTATAATATGCACTGTAAGTTTTCCCAAGCCAAACTTCTGTCTGACTGCACCATGAGAGCTTCTTTGCATTATTGTGGTGACAGTGGGAGTGGGAGTAGCTGTCACACCTCTTTGAGTTTCTCCTTTGCTTTCTGTGCGCTATTTGCCGCTTTCCACTCAGTCACTGAAGCAACCCGGTCACAGACGGCCAAGCAAGGGGTCTCGTCAAAGTGCGGAGCAGCAGGCACCACCACAAATAGACCCCTGCATGCCCGGATGGCTGGCCGTGTGACTGACAGGCTAGCTGATTCTCAGCAGGGCTGCCTGATTTGCCGGCCGCCATGCTGACACGTCACTTTAGAGTCCAGTGTGAGCGGGAGTAGAGACCAAAAGGGGAAATTATCCAGGATAGCCTCGCCAAGGTAGCGCTGGGATTGAGACTAACGTGTGTGTGTGTGAGAGGGGGGGGGGTTTAAAATGCATTAAGCACTTATGGAATGATAAACTTGAATGAAATCTTAGTGCCTTGTTAGAAGAGGACTAGATGTTGCTGTGTGTATTTGCAGGAAATGTGTGTGGCCTGAAATGTCCAGATGAAAATAGGGAACAATTCCTCAATTCAGGAAGTGACTTTGCTTGGATTTTTTTTTATGCTGTAAAAGACTCCTCAAGTCTTTGAATCGACTTCTGGTGCAGGACCTTGAACGCACCACTGGCTTTGTGAACACACGTGTAACTGCTGGCTGTGAATAGAGCTAAAAAGACTGTTTTTCGTTGTTTTCCCAGCATATTTGCTCCTGCTGTCAAAAGTAAACCACAACCCTAAGAAGACCTTTTGTTGTATTGAAATCATGATATGATGCTGTGTTGTTTTCCCACTTGTTCAATCCAGAATATTATAATGACAGAGGAAATTGCTGTCTTTGTTTACCAGTGTCGCCATCCGCCTTTATAAATCCTTTTCTTCATTCTGTTTTTAATCAAATGTGCTTTCATCCTTTCTTTGATCCTGTGGTTTAGCTGATGGTGATTTTGCTTGAATCCCTGTTTGACACTATGTTTTGGGATGTTCTGGTCTGTCGCCTGCACACATTCTCTAATCCCATTTTGCGAAGCAGAACAATGTTCAGTGTGTGCCATTTTAATCATCAGATCCAGGTGTTGGGCTCTGGAAGATATTAACATGCAGTAGTAGACCAAAATAAATGGTAATATTCACTATATATCACAATATTTCAGTATTTAAGTCAGATATTAGAAAATGTTGGGGGAAAATATATATCGAGCTCCTTGTTGTGTGCAGATTAAAACCTTTTCCAACACAAACGCAAAACGGATTTCATCACAATCAGTGCAAACGATGATTTGTTGTTTCCAATTCTGTCTTATCACATAAATTGTTCACACAAATTCTAACCAAGAACCCATATTTAGATGGCAGAGCTGGTAGATTTGCAATCAGATTATTGAGAGGTGAAGATAAATAACTATCACAAGTGTTTTCTAACATGTTCGACTATTAAGTTGTTAAAACCTGATCTACTTTTCAAAAAACCCTTCTTGAGTTACAGTAAATGGTTCATTTACCAGCATGTAACTGTTATTTATTAGCAGCAGGTAGTCTGTTCTTGCTGTTGGTCCCTCACCACACTGTCTCCAGCGGTTTAGCAGTGTGGACTTAATTAAATATTAACTAAAATTAATCAACAAATTATTTTAATAAACCGTTGACAGACTTGCTAACTTCATACCTCATGGAGGATAACTGTGGATGTTCTAGCTCAGTGTTACATACTGTAGCAAAAGAGACAATCAACAGTTTGTGTGGTTTTCCTACCCTAACATAAAGCATCACATGTCTCTAAGGGATTTGAACAATAAAGGATAACAGCTTTTCATTCTGTGCACGTTTAAAATCCGTCTTCATCAGGTCTACTCTGTTTTAAAGAGGAACAAAAGATTTTCTTTCTCTTCTTCACGCTGACCTTCGAGCTACATGCCTGGATGCTTTGTACACTGTCAAATTGTTAAAAGATGACTTAGAATTATTGTTTCAGACCACCGAGTGAGGTTACCAGCAGATGATCCAACAGGAACAATTTGTTATCCACTGTATATCCAGATAAGATTTCTTATCTTTGACATCATGCTAGAA